AGACTGTTGTATTATTTGTTCACTTTTGTTTTTCTAAAAAATAATTTTTCGTCACGGAATAATAAATCTGTGAACTTATTCCATTTAAATGGAGCGTACCTGGATAAAATTTTCTTCATTTTTATTCTTACTTTTAATATTTTTTCGGTTCTTTTATGTTGAGGAAGCTTTAAAATTGCATACTAACAATTTCTACTTGCAGCGTAGTTTTATTCGTTGGAGTGATCTGCCCTTATAAGTAAGATACCGGTAGATAAAATGAATATTTTCAGTTAATAGCACAGTTAGTAATAGATTAAAATGTGCGTAGCAATATACTAGTATAAGACGAAGAATAAGTAATTGAATTCATTATTTCCATTAACTTTCCCAGTGTACTAGTATTTTTACTAAACAATGATGGAGATTTTCGTGTCCTTTAGTTGTTGAAATGCTTACATTTTCTTAAATTTATAGTTTGCTTTAGAAATTTAGAAATTTGAAGTTGCTAAAATTGCTTATAGCAAATAATTTTCATGTTGACATTGTTTAGTGACAAAAATGTAAAGAAGTCACCCGTATTGTATTTGTTGTCACGAATAGCGAATAAATATAAAAGATATCGCAATCCCTTACCAAAAACCCAAATTCAGAGAGGCATTCACAGTGACAGATCGTGTTTGATACAAGAGTTTGTACCAAAGCATATTGGAGATAATCATATTTCCCATGCTGAATTTGTACCAATTAAAATGTTTTCAAATGAAAATGATGATTAGTACTATCATTATTGTTTTTGGTGGCACTTATACATATATTCAAAAGAACTTTGATTATACCTTTCAACGAATGTCATGTAGTATTTGCAAACACAAACATTACTTAAACCTATGGTCATTGTTGGAACTGATGGAAATGGAAGAAGCTTTACATATTTTTTATTCATAGCGCAAACTTCTAGTGAGATTTCCCCCATTGAAATGTTCCTTTACCAAAAAAAAGCTGATGGTCAGGGACACCGTTGTCCAAGTAGTATACAGTGACAATATTTTTACTTTTGAGTTCTTAATGGACTTCATTACTTCTGAGATGCATATTTCAATAAAAGGAATAAAAGGATATAGTTCTTTCGACATGTGTACATGTCGACAGACAGGCCATGAAATCACTCTAGTGTAACAAATGCATCGGGGTTTATATCTAGCAGGTACAGGTAAAGGCAGCGAAATAAATATGGCGGAATCGAAGAAATATGGCAGAAAACACGCCTACTAATGTTATTGTTATGTTCCCTAACATAAAAACTGACAACAAACAATGCATTGTTTGCCAAAATTCAACAAATTATTACTAATGATGTCTGATTGACTTTAAGACACATAGCTCAATTGATAGGCATCAGTTTGGGGGTAGTTTACATAACTGTTTAAAAGGAACACTTGACATCAAAAAAAAAAAAAGCTTAGTACTCAATGGTCACCCTATGTTTTGAAAAATGAGTGAAAACGACAGCGTGTAAGAATATCTAAACAATCATTTTAAAAAACCAAAAAATTGAAGTTATCCACCTTTGTCTGAAATTCAAACAAATAGTGAAACTTGAATCCATTGGTTTAAACTCTCAAAACAAATTTATAATTAGATACACTTGACTAAACACAACCAAGGTTTAAAAAGAGAAAAGAATTGCAAAAATCATAAAAACAGTTTTATCTGCCATTTTCTTAAATATCGTTTCTCTTGTTCAAATTCTTATTCGGGAGGCAGTTCAGTTTCTGGAGAAGTCTAGAAAGCAAATTTAAAAAAAAATCGAGAGGTTTACGAGAGGATGGAAACAGAATCATGACTAAACTACATTAAATTTCTTCACGACAGCGTCTAAACCCACACGCCATGAAGAGTAAAGTTGTTTTGTAGATAAACAGAAATTTAATGTTTTTTCACACCATCAATATTCGCCAGATCTTTCACCCTTTGACTTGTTTCATTTTCCAAACTTGAAAAAAAAACATCTTACAGAAAGAAAAAAAAAACAAGTCAAGGAAATCAGGGATCTGCCATATTCCAGTTTACGAAGGGTCATACTCAAAAATGTGTTCTAAAAATAATCAGAAATGAAACAAGAGGCCCAAGGGCCTTGAATCGCTCTTCTGATAAATTGTACAATCTATCACTTCTATTAGAAGCCTCCAACTCTATTAATATCATAAGACCCAAAATGCATCAACTTACAAAGTTTGATAATATTTAGCCAGTTAAGACTGAAGATATTATAATATGATTATCATAAAATACCATAAGTAGGTCACAATGACCTATCTTTTGATTGAAATTTTCTGAGGACTCAAGATACATTAATTGACAAAGACTGATGATTCTAATTGAATAAGTACCTGAGATATTCAAAAGTAGGTCACCATGACCTACTTTTTGGTCAACATTCTCTGAAAACACAAGATGCATCAACTGACAAAGTTTGACGATTCTAAGCCAATTAGTACCAGAGATAATTAAATATAGCCATCAAATGTCAAAAGTAGGTCACGGTGACCTACTTTTTGGTTGTCATTTTTCAAAGACCCAAGATGCCTAAACTGACAAAATTTGATGATTCTAAGCCAATAAGTACCTGAGATATTCAAAAGTAGGTCACCGTGACCTACTTCTTGGTGGACATTCTATGAAACCCCAAGATGCCTCAACTGACAAAGTTTGATGATTCCGAGCCAATAAGTACCAGATATAATTAAATATAGCCATAAAATTTCAAAAGTAGGTCACAGTGACCTACTTTTTTGGTCGACGTTCTCTGAAAACCCAAGGTGTCTAAACTGACAAAGTTTGATGATTCTAAGCTAATACGTACCAGAGATATTCAAAAGTAGGTCACTGTGACCTACTTTTTGGTCGACATTCTCCAAAAACCCAAGATGCCTCAAATGACAAAGTTTGATGATTCTTAGCCAATAACTGCCTGAGATACTTAAATATAGCCATAAAATGTCAAAAATAGGTCACGATGACCTACTTTTTGGTCGTCACTCTCCGAAAACTCAAGATGCATCAACTAAAAAAGTTTGATGATTTTTAGGTCAATAAGTACCGGAGATACTCAATTATAGCCACAAAATGTCAAAAGTAGGTCACCATGACCTATTTTTTGGTCGTCACTCTCCAAAAACCCAAGATGCATCAACTCACAAAGTTTGATGATTCTAAGCCAATAAATACCTAAGATACTTAAATATAGCCATAAAATGTCGAAAGTAGGTCATCGTGACCTACATTTAGGTCGACATTTTTCAAAGACCCAAGATGCATCTACTGAGCAAGTTTGATGATCGTAGGTCTGAAGGTAATCAAAATATGCGTTTTAAACAATTTGAAAACAAATGTCGGCAAAATTCAAAAAGTAGGTCACAGTGACCTACTTTTTCATAAATATGTTTTAAGGTCCCAAGACGCATCAAAGTACAATATTTGATGATTCTAAACCTCCTAGTGTCTGATATAATGGGATTTAATGTTTTTAAAAAGATAAGTCATAAAGTTCAAAAGGTAGGTCACGGTGACCTAATTTTAAGTTGACATTGTTTGAGGACCCAAGATGCATCAACTGACAAAGTTTGATGATCGTAGGCCTTAAAGTGTCCAAAATATGCCTTCAAATCAATTTGAAAACAAATCCCCGCAAAATTTAAAAAGTAGGTCACCGTGACCTACTTTTGGGTTAACATGATGTGAAGTTGTAAGATGCATCAACTTACAAGATTTGATGATCCTAATCCTTATAGTAAGCAAAATATACAAGTTTTTATTAATCGTAAATTTAGGTCAACTTTGAAGTGACCTTGAGACCACGCCCTTTGCCCCAGGGTAATTCCCCGTGCAAGTTTTGATCTTCGACATATCCTGATCCTTGTACATAAGTTTGGTGAAAATCTGCCCGGTGGTTATGGAGAAGAAGATTTTTTAGCAACCAGTACTTTTGGTTTTATTTTCCTGATTATCTCCCCTTGTTTAAGGGTCCCAACCCTTATTATAAATGGTAGCCCTTGGGCCAAGGATACCCTGTGACAAATTTGGTACTGATTGGCCAAGGGGTTCTTGAGTTATGGCCCATATTCTAAAAAGTTTACGCACACCGCACAAATGGCCATAGCATTAGCTCTTTGAGCCTTTGGCTCAGAAGAGCTAATAAAAGTGTTACAGACATGTATTTTAATTGAACGATAATATTTGAGTGAAATCATTAAGACTAAATCATTGAAAAGCGTTTTATTGTTTCTTTCCGAGCACCGAGGACATTATTTATTGAACAGTCCTCGTAAAGTCAACTAATTTGCTATTCTAACGCCAATAAATATATTCCTAGTTCCCATGCAAGTATGTAATTCTAATGTATTTCTGCAGAAAATAATGACTACTTATTAATGTTTATATGAAGTCAAGAGAGATTAAAGTACATGTCATCAGATATCATAGTGTGGTGAAAACTGAAACACAACATAACTTTTCTGTTTACTATGAAGAAAGTCATACAAAGGTAAAAATAATGCCTATTTAAGAGTTCATGTCAGCTTTAATACAGCCATTATCAATGCAAATACCCTGGTTCACCTTTGCATTAAACGTTCAGCTGATAAAAAGAGTTATTTATATTCTTGCAGTTTTGTATCAATATTTCATTTTGTTAATGGATGTTATAGTTCTAATTGAAAGACTGTGTACAGATATTCTAATTCTACGCAAAATATTAATTATATTAAATAAAAAAAATAAACTTTTATTTGGTTTTTCTATAACTCTGCTCAGCGCCATTCGACTAGATGATCGTTTACCTACAAAGACAGCGTGTCTATTTCAATAGACGGAGATTTAATTTTGAAATTTCTTCTCGTCACTAAATATAGACTGTTTAAAAAAAAGGTGAGATTATTTCGAAATGTACATAAATTGTATAAAACCAGTGTCCGCATTGACTGCACACCTTTGAGAAAACATTTGATTTCAACAGAAAAAAATATGGACTTTAAGCCGTTGCGATTCTTCAAATTAGTACTGTTGATGTCATTTCTTGGGCTTACAGAATCCTTGTCCAGAACACAGTTATTCCAGGATGTAATGAAAAAAATAGATCCAGAAATCGCTCCTTTTGAATCTGCGGACACATTTATATCCGTCACAATAAATGTAAATTTGATGGGGATTTCAGAGGTCAACGAGAAGCAACAAACTGTGAAAGGATCGTACTGGATTGTGTTAACATGGACGGACTGGCGTCTGAGATGGGATCCCAATTCTTATAGGAACATCAGCGCGGTTCAAGTGAAAGCTGACAAGATCTGGTCTCCGACTTCTATTTGTATTTTCAATGAATTAGGAAACGAGAAGTGTTTCAATGCCGATAAAGATCCAGTTACTGTTCATTCAGCAGGATACGTAGCCTACATGAAATACATGGAGAGCGTGTCCCAGTGTACAATAGATGTCACAAAATATCCTTTTGATTCTCACTACTGTGGCCTGTGGTTTGGAAATATTAATTCAAACACGGAATTTTTGCATTTCGATTCAAAATATTCTGGATTTCTTCTTCAATATCTTCAGCGAAACGAAGTTTGGGACGTTCGGAACACGTCGATTTCAGTTTTCAGTTATGAGGAACCTACTACTAAAGTAATACAAAATCAATTACATTTCAACATAATGTTGGAAAGAAAGTCATTTTATGTCCTCATTTCTACATTTTTACCAGTTGTAATTTTATCAGTATTAAATTTGTTTTGTTTTGTTGTACCTATCGACTCAGGTGAAAAGATGGGGTTCAGCATGGCTATATTTCTAACATTTGCCGTGTTTCTTACGATAATTAACGATTCCATGCCGAACTCATCAGAAAAAGTTCCTTTCTTCACAATATATCTGATAACTCAACTCGTCATCAGTGGATTGACAGTAGTATTGGAATCCTTTGTTCTCTTGTTCCACTTTCACTTTTGTACCAAAACAAAAGAACAGTCAGAGAAAGAAGACGAAAAGGGGACCACAGATAAGAATTGCCATTTCACTGGGGCACATTTGGACATAATATTCTTCTTTTTCGTTTTAGGTTGCAATATATTTTCAATCCTTTTTTATATTTTAAATGTGATTTGAAATGTTTTCCGTAACAGAATATTTTGCTATTTCTTTTTCATTTGAAATCTCTAGTTAATTTTAGTATATTTTATCCAATGGTGTAGAATAAAACACTTTCCTGTAAATTTGCTCATCAATTGATTCATGTGTTGAATAATATCTTGTCATTATTTGTCAAAAAATTGAATGTATATTTTGAATCAAGAATGCAAAATTCTGTCTGATGAAGAACCAAACTTTTGATATGTAAAGTTTGGACAGTTTTGCTTTACAATTACGCATAAATTACAACACATAATTTGATTACTTTACAAACATAATTTTTCCTTGAGTTGTACATAAAATCCTACACAAGTTGTGCAGCGTTGATTTTAATCGTCACTTCCTTTACAATTAGTTACAAAGAGGTACGTAGTTTTTACAGTTTGTGAGCAGAAATCATCTTTCATCGTCATAATTTAGATAAAATTGTTTTCTTTAATTAGAGGGTATTCTCAACCAAGTCTTTTAGATAGTTGATGAAACAAATGGAGATAACAAAAAGTATTCGAGATCAAAAGTCCATAAAACAATACAAAATAGGAGCAGAGAAAACACGGACCTCCTGACATTAAAGATGGGATGAGGTACCATGGAGGAATGTGCATCCCCTGCTGACCGGTCACACCCGACGTGTGCTCCTTGTCGTGATCGGGAAATAACGGAAAAATCCGTCGTCAATTCAGTGCATAAATAATGGACTAACAATAAGTATAAAATACGTCAGTCAGCATTGACTCAATGATAAATTGTATTTGCTGACAGGGTCACTGTATCGACCATACAACTTACCAAATGATGACTTTAAACGAGACTGCTGATATTCTTGTTTCATCAACTTGTTTGGCGTTAATATATTTACCTCGTTTTAGAAATTTTTTATACGTAGAACATGCTCTTGCGTATCGAATCAACTGAGATATATAAACTCCGTATGCAGTTGCTGATGGTATTTTGCTGCATAAGTAAGAGAAATTGACGATAGAAAGGTTAAAGTCATCACGTTTATCATAAAGCTTGGTTTTTAGGGTACCATTAACGTCTTTTTCAAGTAAAATATCCAAAAATAAAACAGATGTGTCAGACTCTGTGGTATCTTTCATCTCAAGCTCACCAGGATATATCGTATCGGCATAAAATATAAAAATTGCGTTGCTAATTGAGAATACAATGTCGATATATCTAAATGTCTAGCTGAAGACCACAACAAGTGTTCTCTTTTTTTCACGCATAAGATTTTGCACAAATTCTGCTTCATATGAATACAAAAATAGGTCTGCTAATAAGCTTTATCAAAATAGTTGTTTTAGATTATTTTAGTCATAGAAACAATTAACACACACTTTATATTTAAAGCAAATCTTGCATGTTTCTCCCTTTTGTGGAAACAAAAAAAAAAGAAGATAACAACCCCATATGTTTCATAGTAATAAACTTTTTAAAGTATTAAAAGTAGAAGGTCAAAGTTTCTGCGGTTACAGAAATAACGAGAATTTTTTGGTTTAAAAAAAAATTACTGTTTGTAACGAGGGTCATTAAAAAACAAGGAAGAAAACGCAGACAATGCTCTCGTTATTGTATTATATTGACAAGATAAAATACCAACACATTTTCATATGTAAAAATATTTATTTCGTTGATATGCGAAGCTTCATTTAATTTGATTAAATGGAACTCCTGTGAGCGGGTGTAAACTGTTAGTATGATATTGTATATATGCACACAGTTTGATATACCATAAGAGAAAAAACCTGTTTCGGTTTTATATTAATTAGTTTTAAAATAATGTTTTATTCGTTTTTGACAAGATGCAAATTTGCGCAATTCAACTGATTTTCAATAATGAGTCCATGTATATCTCTCTCACAATTCTCCAGAAACATTTACAATTCTGGGCTATCGGTATCTTACATGCAAATAACATAGACTTAATTTAAATTGAGATACCTTATCCTTGATAAATATTTTGAAACAACGAGAAACTGAACTACAGGAGATATGTGGCACTCGACAGGGATGTTTTTTTTTCTATATGAAACCTGATCCTTTTTTTCTGTTTTTGCTCCGCTCCCAAATCCAAAAAGTTCAAGGAAAACTTCAATTAATAACAAAACACTAGTATACAAGAAACAGTTAAAAATTATTAGCTTTTGACCGTGGATACCAAGCAAAACGTTTCATAACCATTGTCGCTGTCGGGTTTATTGGTTACAACCTTCACTCTTTGATTATTGTAAATCAATGACAATGACTCATTAGCATTAAACTTTGTTTTTCACAACCTACTCTCAAAATTTCAACAAATATAGTATTTCATGATCCGAAGTCAAAATGTCGCCAGACATTGCTAATGATGCTGAATTATTGATTGACATTGATAGACGTTATGTTTTGGATATTCTTTGAAATTTCGGGTATTGTTCTACGTTATTTACACAGTAATTAACAATACTTATTCCTATTAACCTTCAATAAAGGAGGAACTCAGTAAAATAAAATACGAATTAATGCATTCCATTATAAAATGTTTGAATCAATGACAAATATTGACACTGGAATGAATATCTGCATTAATGTTAATGGTTATTTTCTTTTCATTCTTTTACAGTTGATTAATGCTTTTTAGTTTTATTTTTTGAATGATTATAAACATTTCTTTCGCATATGAAAGTTTGTTGGGGATCGACTCACACTTATAACCATTCGGTTAATTGAATGAAACCAATATTTCTGCAGCACTTTAATGGCGCCTGTCATCCGAACCATTCTGCTAGTTTGTTCCACGTTTCAGCTTTGTGCATCTTCTGACAGATCACAATTATTCAGAGATGTCATTGACGTTCTGAATCCGGACATTGCTCCTTTCCAATCCTCCAACACCAGCACGGATGTGATGATAACAGTCGCCCTGACAGCTATACCCGAAGTAAACGAGAAACAAAAAGTGATGAGCGTCTCATATGGTATAATTTTGACGTGGTTGGACCATCGACTGCAGTGGAATGCCAACTCATATCAGGGTATCACTTCTGTTCAATTGAAAGCAAGTAAAATTTGGACACCGACTTCCGTATGTATCTCTAACGAAATAGGAAAGGAAAAGTGCATTGATCCGCAGACCAACCAAGTTGCCGTTCACTCACAGGCTTACGCCACTTATCGTGACGTCATGGAAAACAGAGTATATTGTAAAATAGATGTGACAAAATTTCCATTTGATTCACATACTTGTTCTATAGAATTTATGAACATAAATCCCAGCACGGAATACCTAACGTTCAATAAAGATCACTCCTACTTCATGCTCGAAGACTATGAATCTAATGAAATGTGGGATGTTATTAATACATCGCACTTCATAAGGAAGTATACGATTCATAAATGGAATGTGACTTATGAAAGATTTATTTTCCAAATACAGATAAAAAGAAAGTCGTTATATTTTATCATTTCCACACTTTTACCAGTTATTCTTTTATCAGTTCTGAATTTGTTCTGTTTTCTGGTTCCTATCGACTCTGGTGAAAAAATGGGATTCAGCATGGCCATATTCCTCACCTTCGCCGTATTTCTGACAATAATAAACGAAGCTTTGCCAAAATCATCGGACAAGGTTTCATATTGCACCGTTTACCTCCTTACACAGCTTTTCATTAGCGGATTAGTCGTTGTCTTACAGACTGTTGTATTATTCGTTCATTTTCGTTTCTCTAAAAATAAGTGTTCATCACAGAACAATAAATCTGTGAACCTCTTCAAATTAAATGGAGCGTACCTTGATAAAATTTTCTTCATTTTTATATTTACTTGTAATATTTTTTCGGTACTTTTCTATTTTGCCAATGTGAGATGACTTTAATTTGAATTACTTCATATACTTGTTAGACAAAAAACGTTATCGACCTTATGAACCCCATGTAGTAATTGTGTACTTTAACAGGTATTAGATGTTTTTTTCCTCCACATCAACTTTCGTATGGTTTACGATGTATATCTTTTAGATTATAATATAAGCAGTAATGTTATTTGTGCCCTGTACATCTAGTACCCATAATGGAGATGTTTGTTTCTATAAATTGTTGAATTGCTGACGTTTCTTGAATGTACAGTGTGCTTTCGAAATTGTAAATTCTTTGAAGTTGTTAAAATTGATTATAGGAGATTACGAGCGAGTTGTTAATTGTGATGTTGACATTTTTTTGTAACAAAAATGTAAACAATTCACCTATGTTGTATTAGGGAATAAATATTACAACTTATGATTTCTTTTATAATCTTTTACGTGAAAAGAAAAAAAAAACCACTTGTTGTAGCCTGTAATTCGACATTTAGATATATCGACGACATATTATCTATAAACAATAGTTATTTCCATCCCTATGTCGATAAAATATAATCCCGGAGAGGTTTGAATCAGACACCGCAGAGTCTGATACATCTGTTTAATATTTGGATATTTTACTTGAAAAAGACGTTAATGTTATTTTAACGAAAAGCTTTATGATAAATGTGATCACTTTAACTTTTCAATCTTCAATTTCCCTTACACTTATGCAGCAATACACCGGTATCTTCATAACCTGCACAAGGGGTATATATATGTCAGTTGATTCGATCTGCAAGAGCCTGTTCTACGTGTATGAACAATTTCTCAAACAAAGTCATTCACAAACTAGATGATGGAACAAGAATGTCAGCATGACAAGAGGCAAGAAATTTGACCGGTCTACTCACTCCTTCATGGCACCTGATGCCACCTCTGATGGTCCATGTTTTCTCTGCTCCGAAATTCGTATTGTTTTATGGACTTTTGAGTTTGAATGCTGTTTTCATCTCCATATAGTTCAATGTATAGGACGAAAATAATGCAATCAAAGCTTATAAATCCATCAAAAATATGAACATTACTTTTCCCTGTCATTGAAATGGTATGCTAGTATTCCAATTTTTCAACAACAACAACAACAAAAAAAAAAAACGTTGCCAAAGTTGCATCTTATATTGCGTTTAAAAAAGTTCAAGAGGAAAATGATTTACTAATTCGTAGGTCTCTGCGTATTTTAAAGCAGTTGGAATAGGTAAAGAA